TTTCTTCCTTTGCTACTTCTGTTGCTGAAGACCAATCAGTTGCATCAATAACAGCACCGCAGACAGAGGAAACAGGCAAAAATTCCTTCCTGTTGGATACAGTGAACAGTATACCTTCCTCTCGAACAGAGGTCACCCAAGGCCTGGACTATGTACCTTCTGCTGGCACTATTTCTCCCACATCTTCCCTAGAAGAGGACAAAGGCTTTAAGTCTCCTCCTCCAGAAGACTTCCATAGCCAGATAGAAAGTGAGAAGAAACTTGAGGCCTGCAGGAAGGTTTTGCAGCAGCAGCAGCAGCAGCAGGAAGTTCCACACCTTGAGAGGCCTTGGCAAACACAAGAACATTATGACACCCTCGTGTTTTCACAGCAAGGGCCCCTGGGAGATAGTTCAAGTGAAGTATCCATGGAAGGACCTCAAAAACCTATACTGCTTCTGAATGAAGAAAATGCACACTTGCTTCAGGTAGAACCAGGCTCTGGTGACACAGAAGATCGATGCATAAGCCCTGATGATAGCACAATCAAGATGGCATCTCCCACCCAATCAGGCCCCACTAGTGCAGGGCACACACCTTTTCATCAATCCCCTGTAGAGGAAAAATTGGACACGGCAGAATCAGAGACGTTTGAAAAGGCAGCAAAGTCTCCTGCAATGGGGACTGAAGTAGAAAGACCCAACAGAGCAATGAATGTACCCAGAATGTTTGAAGGTGAAGGAGAGTCTTATGAAGCCAAGGAGGCTTTTACTCCCCTTCAGGATATGCCTGGCCTTGGAGCTACAGCTATCCCACATGCAGAATATTTGTCTGCCCAGAACGAAGACAGGAGTCAGCATTTGGAGAAAGAGGAGCTAGCAATAAGCTTCTACCACAAACAAGAAACTATTGATATTTCTGACCTAGATCTTCCCACTAAAGATACACTTCCAGAGACCTTAAAAGACGCTTCATCTAAGAATGCTGACACTATTGAGGAAGCCTCCTATGAATGTGTTGTTAGATCTGGGTCTGAGCTGTTCTCTGCTTCAGAAATACCTCCTCCAAAAGGTTGGGAAGAAGTTTCAGACATATCTAGAGATGAAAAACCTTCACAAATCATTAATTTACCAGGAGAAGAAAAGGCATTTCCTTTTACCCATGAAATTCCTGGGAAGACAAAATGTTCTGATGATTTCATCACTGAAATATCTCAAGACAGTTTGCATTTGACAGAAACTGGCTTAGAGCAAAAAGAATCTGTTTCAGTGACTATGAAACATGTTTCTCCAGAAGATACTGTTCTGAGCCTTCATGAAGAAACCTCTTCATATTTATTCACAGAAGGAATTTCTCCAAGAGATGCTGCACTTCTGCTTACAAAAGAGAGCCCTAGTAATAAAACATCATTGGGCATGCATGTGGAACAATTTTCTCCTAAAACTAAACACCAAGCTTCCCTAGAAGAAAGTCCAAGTACAGATGAAAGATCAGAAGCTGATATCAAAGAGGATCCATGCAATTCTTCTTTAAATTCTCAGCAAGGTCCATTTCTAAATGCCACTATAACAAAGCCTTCAGCAGACCCTTTTCTGGAAAATGACAGATCAGCTTCCTTAACTGAAAAACAACCTCTTAAGGAACTATCTCCCAGACAAACAAGTCCAGACCCGAAGTCCTCAAACTTGACATCACTGAGCCCAGTTCTAGATAGCAATGCCTTGGAAGTTTCCTCTGAAGAGAAAGGGCCTTGTCAATTTCTGGGAAAGAGAGACAAAACAAATGAACCATCTCCAAAAGAAACAAGCTATGAGAAGAAAGTGTGGTTTCCAGAGGAAATGAAAGAAGCACCATGCAAAGAACAGCAATTAAAATATGATAAAGAAAAGGGAGAGTCTACATTTTTGGATGATGAGGTAGACATACCTGAAAAGAAGGAAGAATATGTTCACTGTGTGGAGATTGAAGATATTCCAAAACAGGGTATTTTGGATACTGAACATGGCTTCTTTCAGGAAGATGAAAAGCAAGAGATTTTCCCTAAGGATGGCTTTCTATTTGTAGATGACAAGCCTGTGGTACAGCTGTTGAAAGAAAAGCCAGCTGCCCGAGCACATCCTAATCAATGTGTTCTGAATTCAGAGAAATTTGAAATTGATAGCTTTGAAAATTGTCACTCTCTTGAACTTGAAAGTGAGCTAAAATCAAGCCTGGAGTGGGCTACTATGTCCTTTCCACATCAGACCAAGATGCTCACTTCAGTGGAAGGAAAAGAAGAGCTTCTCTCTATAGCTAATCAACTTAAGGAGAAAGTGACCCCACAGCTGTCTTCTGACTCCATGAATGAAGCTGTGGCTCCATGTCCACAAGGCAAGTCTTCTGCAGTAGATGAAAGTGAACTCCCACCAGCAACCCCAGAAAAGAGATCAGAGGCTGACACTCTGGACACCAAAGAGACACAGGAGAGAAAGCAAAATGCTGGTGAGAAATCACCTAAGCATCTTTGTGATCACACAGATGAAAGTGAAAAGCAGACAATAACATCTGCAGCTCTTCTGAACACAGGTGCAGGGTCAGAGGAGAACAGCGAATTTTATCCTGACCAAGATTGTAGAGGAAACAGGGACCTTGAAATCCCTTCACAAGACACAGTCTCTTTTGGCCAAATAAAGTGCTATGCATGGTCAGACACTCTGGACCCAATTCCTTTTGAGTCACATGACTCCAAAGTGAATGCAGATGGGAAAGGGCAAGAGAAGGAAGACAGGGAACCAACTCCTTACCCTCATGAAAAGACTTTCCAGTATGCTGATGTCTATGGGAGTGTGGGAGTGTCTGCTGTGGGCCACTCTGGAAAGGGTGCAGCGCTTAAGACTACCCAAGCATCAAGATCTCAGAAGGAGGAATTCCTTTATCCCATTTCCTCCAAAGAAGAAGATTCTTATCTTTGCACTCCTACTGAGAAAGAACTCTCATCTCCAAGTTCACCAAAGGTTACGATGGGACATTCCTTTAGATATGCAGAGGTTAATGATCAGCATTTGGAGGGTCTGTGTGCCATGACATCCACAGACACACAACCTAGAGAAATCTTAATCAGCCCACTGCCACTCCTACCGGAAAACCCAATGAGCCTCCAGCCTACCTCCTCTTTGGGAGACACAGCCTTCTCCCACTCCATCAATGTCAGGGACAGGATTAACCAGGAAGACTTAATCATCTCCTCTGAAAAGATGAGCCCTTCAGACAGAAAACTCAGTCAGGAGCAGGAGTCTCCTTCTTCAAAAGGTTTTCATTCCAGGGACATTTATTATGAGAAGGCTGAAAGAGAAGAAAGTCTTAGTGACTCAGAGTTGGAGAAAGGTGCCAAGGAGAAGTCAGAAAAAGAAGCAGAGTATCCAATTGTGGAGCCAGCCAGAGAGAAGGAAAAGGAACTCTGTACAGAGAGTTCAGTAATGGAGAAGGACAATGTCTCAGTGCCACGGCAAGAAGCCTATGCTGTGTCATTGGGAGAGGGAAATCACTCAAAGAAAATGGCCAGTAACAGCCTTGCAGATGCAGACAGACAGGAATGGGGCTCAAATATGGCTGAAGCTGCCATCAAGCAATACTCCAAGGAGGAAGAGAAAAAGGACCCCATGGAAAAAGCCTGTGATAATGTTGACCCCAAAAGCTTTTTACTTGCAGCCACTGTTAAAGACAAGGACTCTCCAAGGGGACCAGTCTTCCTTCCTAAGGGGCTTGATTGTTCTTCCTCAGGATTTGAACTTTCCTGCCTGGAAAAGCATGAGCCATCCATTTTGTTCAGACATGAAGCCCATTTCTCCTCACATCTTGAGGATAAATCTCTCACTTTTAACATACCTGATCCTGCTTCTTCAGAAAAGGGCCAAGAAGACAAATACTTAGAGGTATCAAAAAAAATGGATTCCCCCTTTGTAGATGTTTCACAGCCAGATCTATATGAAGAAGAAGGAAAGCCCCCTTTGTGGACATCCCAAGAGTATCAGCTACACAAGGTGTCACCTAGCCCCCCTGAGGAACCTTCCCCAGGGACCTCCATCTCAGCAGTGCCGGTGGCAAGTGGCAGCCCCCTCCCTAGCCTCCAGGACATCTCAGGAGCAAGAGCTGCAGAGACTGAGACGCAGAGCCCACAGATCCTGTCTCCATTGCTTTCAGAAAAGGCCACTTTAGTTGCCTCTGCCAGCACAAAGGCCATACAGCCATCAGAATCCACTTGCACAGTTGGCTGTTTGCCACAGCCACCAAGCCCTGAAGAATGGCCAGCAGCCACTTCCCTTCCTAATGTCCTGGCAGGTTCTCTTTGTCAGCAGGAGGCAGTAGCAACAGCCAATGGCCCTACAGAAGTAAGCATCAGTCCACTAACTTTTTATGATTCATCACACATTACGGAAAAATGTAGGAGGATGGGGGAGGAGCAGGAGCGGGAGAAGGTTTGTGAAAGGCAGACCCGTCCCACTTCCCTCCTGACCTCCGACCCTAACTTCCCAAGTACTCAGTTGAACAGCCAAACAGAGGATCATGGTGACACCTCCCAAGCAATAGAGCCATGTTTCAAAACCATGTCTAACTGTGGGAAGAAATTATATGAGTATAAGCAAAGAAAGGGCGAATTATCTCCATCATTCATCAATCCAAGTCCTCATGATTCATCAGAAGACAGTGAGTTTTCACAGGCTAAAGGCCATATTTCAGTGAAAGGAAAGCCACATTCAGTTCCTGCTGGCCACAGACAAGCTACTTCTACTGTGGAAGAAACTCCTCCCACCTCTGCAAGTGATTCAGGGACTTCTCAGTCAGACTCAGATGTTCCTCCAGAAACAGAGGAATGCCCCTCAATCACAGCTGAGGCAGCCCTGGACTCAGATGAAGATACTGATTATCTCCCAGTAGACAAGGCTGTAGGCAGTTCCCAACATGGCACAAAGTCTGGCCATGACCCACAACCTGCTTCCTTGGTGGACCCTCATCCTCATCCTCCACGCCCAGATGTCTGCATGATGGATCCTGAAATGCTGCTAATTGAACAGAACATGAATAGACTTGATAAGATATCCAGGAAGGACCTGAAAGATAAAAATAAAGCATCTAAGAAGCTGCTGAGCAAGTCCAAGTCCTCTTCCCCATACCAGAAATCTGACAAACAATTGCTTAGTCCTGTGAAGCAACCATCTGATAGGTCTTCAAAACCAGTGTTGGCTAAGAAAGAGAAACTGCTCAAGTCACACATGGAAGACAAAGACGAGGTTTCTCGAAGCACTCACATCAACCCTGGCAAGAACCTCATCAATGGTATCAAAATCAGCCCAGGTAAGACTGAACAGATGTACAGCAAAGGTTATGGAGGTTATGATTCTCCAGAGTAATGATTGTCTGGGCAGAGGAACTGCGTTTCATAAACCTTCTAGTACTTCCAAAAGGTCAACCTTTGTGTCATGGGGGCTTTGTGGGTTCACAAGAATTAATCCAACAGATAGCACATAGTTCCATCTTGTCAATTTTTTCCTTAATTTTATTAGCAAAATAGGACAAGTTGCTACTTGCATTTTCATCTATAAAAAGCAATTTGGGCAGAATTAATGAATTAATTACAGGGGCTAAACAAGCCAAAAGCCCCCCCCCCGCCACTTACCTTATCTGCCTGGATAAGCAGTAGTGAAGCATCAATAAAACAATCAAAGGCTTCATTTATGTTCAAGTGTCCAACAGTTTAAAGTTAACTGTCCCTCCCCACTGGATGTATGTGCCGCTTTCAGTGTTGACAAAAAGTATGTGTTACTATTTCTAGGTTCCTACTTAAGAGTTAAGTAAGGGGGATAATTACAGAGAGGGACAGTCTCAGCCTGGCAAGATGTCGATTTCCTCTCTTCATTCTCTTCAGCTTCCCATGAAAGCAATTTGTTAGGAAGAAAAGTCCCTCAGTGTCCATCTTCAGTGGTCTTGGGATGCCTCTAGATTACTTCAGCAGCCTTCTATGGATCCTGCTCTGGAACAGACAGTTCTTCAGTGCAACATTATCTAGTCCACCTCAGGATCTCCCCTTCCCCAGAACCCCAACTAACTATGTCAAGTCTTACCAGCTCTCTCTCCGTCCTTCCCCCCACCTCGCCAGCTTGCCAGTGCAACAGCAGTCCCTTTTCTCCTGTAAGAAAGCTGCTGCCTTTGAAAAAATGTGCTGTCTCTGCTTGTGCCAGTTGCTACTGTCAGTTCAAAGTTTGGCTCAGGGCGTGACCAGATGTCGGACAGCCTTGGGGTGTGCCATACTGTCATGTGCCCCCTCCCTTTTATGAAGGGTTGGAATCATTTTCCCAAGCTTTCAATTGGCTTCATCGATATCTGCATGGCACGGAGCATTCTTTGGGTCACTTCCATCTATATAGAAAAATCAGCTACTGGGTACTGTTCTCCTGACTGATTTTAACAACAAACATGTGGTTGCAGAGCAGGATACTATTTTGTAAGCCTTCTATTATTGTATTTCATCTTTTCTAACCAAACTGCAGGTGGGTGATCTGTGATTATAGTGAATTCAGGACCCCACAGGTAAACCCTGAGAGTGAATCCTCTAAACCCACTCTGATGAGTTATGGGCTCATTAAAGTTCTTCCACTGCCAGTGTCCAAGAACCCTTCTTATTCCTGGCCATTGACTTCTATGGATACCATTTCCATTTTATGGTAGGAACCATACTGAAAATCTAAAGAAGTAGATGACTTTGACATTTTCTTGGGGCAGGTTGACCTGTTTTGCCACAAATAGACACTTTTTATCTTTCCTTCTTCTAGAGTTTCTTTTCCCTCTGCCTGTACCTCTTTAAACTTGGCCATCTTAACCTTGGCTTTTTCCTTTGGAGCTACATCCTCACCTCTGAGACTTTTGCCAAGCTCCCCAATGTGCATCTTCAGTTCTCTGGGCTGCTAGATAATCCCCAGCCAATCCTTCCATCCACCTTCTCATCTCAGGATGGTGCTCTTGAACCCAGAATGGACCTGGTAGAACTTGAAAGAACTGTTTAAGGATTATGTCTTCTACAACCTGTACATTGGTCTGGAGTTAGGTTGAAATGTTTTAAATCTAGATCCAGAAACTGGCTCACAATTCTCTAACCCCTTTCTGAATCTCTGCTGATATGTTTCCGATGTGACATCATACTGGTACAAAATCCCGTCTTAGTGCTTCACATCTCTGCTGAAAGTTTAATGTAAATTGTTATGGCTCTTCCAGTGAATCTGGGAGCCAAACATGCCACCCATTCCTTCTGAAGCCATTTAAAGGTGGTTGTACTCAGGAAGCCACAGGGTCACCTTCCTCACCCATTTTAAGTCAGAAGGGACTGTTCAGGTTTTGGCTTGGTAAGATAACTACCTCATAAAAGCAGGGATATGTGGTTTTTCTTCCTCTTCCTCTTCCTCCTCCTCCTCCTGAGTTTGCAAAGTCCTTTGACTGTTAGCAGGTCAGTTAGGGCCAAATTCTCTCATTTTCCTTTTCTCTGAATGTGTTGTTTAATTCACAAGCTAATGCCTAATAGTTGCTCAAACCCCACTTTTACCACCAACTTTGTCACAAGGGCTTCATGGATTCGCAGGAATTGATCCAACTGAAAGCACGTTTTATTATTTTCACTCTCTTCTTTTTTGCTAAGTTTCTTGTTACATTTTCAGGCATAAAAAGTGATTTAGGTAGTACTTAATGACTATGGCTGAACAAACCAGATGCCTTTCTCCCCCCTCTCACTTCCTTCATCTGCCTTTCTAGTGAAGCAGCAATAAAACAAAGCAATAAACTAAAGGCTTCATTTATGCACATGTGTCCAACAATAACCATCTCTCCCTACGGGATATATGTGCAGCCTACACATATTGTTGACAAAATATGCATTGCTATTTCTAGATTCCTACATAGAGTTACATAAGGGGCTAACTACGCTGGCGGGTAGTCTCTCTCAGGCTGGCAGAACATGGCCTTTCACTTCCCATGAAAGCCATAGGAGACCTGATGGCAGACAGCTCTGACCTGTGAGATGTTATTACACTTTGTCTTTTCCTGATTGGTAGGAGGTTAATGAGGCCATCTTCAGGAATTTAGGGAATTAGCTGGTGTTGCACCATATGAACTTGCATAAGGAAAATGAGTTGAAGTTTCTGCTGAAAGCTCTGCTACAGAACATTCCAGAATAAGGTAATGAATTGATATGCTACTGCATCTCATGACTCTTGGAAGTTCACAATAATTATAAAATACAATAAAATATCTATAGTAAATTAAAGTTAAAATTAAGTTAAATTAAAATGAAGATCACATAATGCAATCCTGACCTGTCATAATTCACTCCAAAGACCTCAAGAATACTTCAGATTTAACTAGTTTTAGGAGGGCTATTTTTAATAGAGCTAATCTCACCTCCAGATGGAGACCATTCCAAAGGGCTGAGGCATTCGTGAAGAAAAAATGCCTCTGGCCACCAGCTCCCCTCACTTCCTGGAAATGGGACCCTAGTAACAGGAGAAATGTCTCAGATGGGTGAAATCCATATGAGGGGGTTGGACTAGAAGACCTCCAAGGTCCCTTCAAACCCTATGATTCTACGATTCTATGAAATCCAGTCTTGAAAGTACCCTGTTGACAATCCTTATAGGGTTAATAGGGTTGAATTGCATGTACAACCTCTTGGCAACAAGTGCAAAGCATGCAGAACTGGTGTCATACAGTCATAGTGTTGAGCACTTGACAACAAGTATTGCAGTTTCCAAGTGGTTTTCAAAGTCAGCCCTATGTAGAGTGCATTGCAATAATCCAGATGCATGGTGATAGGGGCACACATCACTGTAACAGGGTCCTCTTTCTCCAAGTAGGGCGGCAGCTAGAGTTGGGTAAAGAACCTCCTGCCACAATCTTCATCTGCCTTTCTGCAGTAGCTGTGAGTCCAGTAGGACCCCCAAGTCAGAGACAGTGTTATACCTTGAGAAACACCATCAGAGATGATGGAAAGTTGAGAAGGACAAGCAACAGTTCCATTTTGTGAGGGTTCAGCTTTAGCTTATTTCCATCCAGACTCTAACAGCCTCCAGGCATCAAGTTAAGACTCCTACAGCATCTCCAGATGAGTCCAGGGTGGCACTGTATCATTTTCATCATTCTACTGATGATATCTCACTCTGAATCTCCAGATGACCTCTCCTAGTGGTTTCATGTAAATGTTAAACAGCAGGAGAAACAGGGGCACTTATATGGGAGTAGCCCAGGTTGTCATCTCTTTCCCCATCATCATCAATTGGAACTGCCCACTGAGGAAGATAAAAAACCACTGTAAAGCAGTGCCTCTGACTCCCACCCCCTGCAAGTAGTCCAGAAGGATGCCATGGTTGGTATCAACAGCCACTGAGAGGTCCTAAAGGACCTGGAGGGGTACACTATGCCCATCCAGGCTCCAACAAAATTCATGAACTAGAGAAGCCTTTCTCAACTGGAGTTCTGCGGAACCCTAGAGCTCCATGAGAGTTTGCTAGGAGTTGTCTGAGTTATCGTAGTTAATAAACATAAACCTCTTTTGAACTTTGCACATTGCCCAATGCTAGCGCTTACAGCGGTGGAAATTTTATGCACCATGACTCAGCTGCTAGCCTGCTGCTTTGCTGTAGTTGTAAATGTTGTAAAACATGGATTGTGTAGGTTAGAAGTTAATTGGATTGTGAAGTTTTCATATTTTTTTGCAATTTTCATGCTGGGGTTCCATGAGACCTGAGAATTACTTCAAGGGTTTCTCTAGGGTAAAAAGGCTGAGAAAGGCTTTAGGGTGACCAGTGTTCCATGCCTGGGTCAGAAACTGGACTGAAAGCCAGTTTAAATAATCCACTTCCTTTTCACCATTTTATTGCTGTATCCTCACCATGCAAATGCCAACATTCCCTAAAAAGGGAAGATTGGAGACTGGGTGATGGTTATCAAAAAGAGCTGGATCCAGAGTGGGCATCTTAAGGAGAGGCACATCACACCCTACCTTAAGGCTGCAGGCATAATCCAAGAGAGGTATTCCAGTTTATCATGTCCCCACCTGTATCCCAAAGAAGCCAGGAGGGGCATGAGTCAGCCCTGCAATGGCAGTGGTCATGCTAGAAAGTATCCTGTTCACTTCCTTGGAGTTCACAGCCCAAAAGGATAACCCAAATAACATGGCAATATTTTACCCCAGTCAACATTCTGGACTCCACTTGGTGAATCTCAGGAGGTTTATTGGCAAAGTGCTTTGCAGAAGAGGCACAGTAGCCAGACAGGAGAACAAGGTTGCCAACTAAAAGCCTGCCAGTGCAGTAAAGGATGCTTTGCCCTCTTACCTTCACAATGTAGGTTCAAATCTGAGCTCACACCCATGTTCATTCAAATTCACTTCTAGACTTCATCTACCAATGCTCCAAATGTTAGTTTTGTCAATTAATCTCCCATAGCTCATCAGAAAACCAAGGAGCACCTTAGGATTGGTGCCCTGAGGGTTGGAGGCAATTCTGTTGAAAGCCCAGGTTGCCTCCTAATGCCAGAGGCTAACCAGGAAATTGGCAGAACTGCCTGGCAGATCACTGAGAAACTGCTGAAGCACCCTCTGGAAACCCTCCAGATCCCTCATGCTCCTGCAGCCTGACATAGTTCCTGGGTGCCAGTCAGTCTCAACTGGACCAGGAAGTTCAAAAGGCTAGATGTAATGGCCTCCATATCCAGATCACAGCACAGCTGCTCCAAAGCAAAGACAAGATCCAAAGTGTATCCACCCTCATGGATTAGGCCAGAGATTACCTGGGGCAAACCCAGTTCCCAAACCTGGCCCTAGGGCATGGAAACTGAAGTCACCTAACACTGAAAGACAAGGGAACTCCAAACCAACCCAGACAAGGTCAAGGGTGGCCAGTATGCCAGGAAGCTATCCAACTCATCCCTATGGTCCAAGGTTAAATATAGGCATTTGCATCCTGACATCTTAGGAAAAGGACCCCTGGTCACAAGGAAGGTCACATACAATCAATGCCACTCCTCACCAGTCTGGGCTTTGAGGCTGCTGTGTAGAATCTGAAACCCAGAAGATCTCTGAAATACCATCTCAATCTTGGCCAGTGAGGTTTTGGTAATACCCTCCTGTTCCACTGCTCATCCACAACCAGGTCATGAATGAGCATGGGATGGTGGTGGTGGTGGTGGTGATGATGATGATGATGATATAAATATCAGGCAAGCAGCACACCTTTGTCCCTCAACTTTGTAGGCATCACTTCTCTCATGGAACATTAAAAACACATATTGCCACCTAAAAACCAATTAGAGTGATAGCCCTCTTGTGCCATTGCCTGCCCTTTATAAACATGACAGCAACCTATTCCCAAATCTTTATGAACCCAGAACACTTGATTTCATATGTAACATCCAAGTACTATTTACTGCCTTTCTG